CTGTTTTATTGTTTGCCAAGCAAAAATTATAAGTCTGATCACTTGGAGAAGTAACAGCACACCTCTCTGCACAGTTTGAGGCATCGTTCATATTCTTACACTGTCAGGGAAAAAAAAAGGTACAAAATCTGTAACTGCGGTGGTACCTTTACAAAAATATGTACCATTAAGGTGCTAATATGCACCCTTTAGGAATAAATAAGGTACCGCCCCAGTGACAGTTTTGCCCCTTTTTTCTGAGAGTGTAGCACAAGCAGCACAGAATGAAATGCATGCAGAGGTTTAATGCTTCGTAATAGAGATTTGAAGTTTGAGCATTAGTAATAGTGATGCTTTCCTTAGCAAGTACCACTGGTTGCTGGTTAGCATTTTCAACCTTTTTTTAGTGTCGTATTTTGAGATTGGTGGCTCGTTGGTGCCCCTCGGCCACGGCGTCCTGGTGTAGAGTTGCACAGACGGGTCTGTTGGGAGCGTCTGTGACCTCACTGGAGGTTTAGCTAGAAGAGGCCCTGCATCAGACAGGCCTGCCCTTCACTAATTGATCCCTCTAACATAAAAAAGGGATCCTGAGCATAGCAGCTCTAATCCCACCCCCTTTCTGCCAGCAACACACACACACACACAATTGAATGCACAACCAATCAAAGCTGTGCACTGTCCATGCCCTCTTTTTGTGAAACAGTCCAATCAGAGGCGAGATTGATGGAAAAACTCTTGGATGTCCATGCTACAGCAAGCTGATGATACATATATAGATACTGAGTTACTGACTCATATTTGAACTATGTACAAGGATCAACACAATAGCGTGCCCTTTAACCTCCCGCATACTTTCCAGTCATCTGAATTGAATATATGTGCGGCAGCTTGCTTAACATCAAGGTCAAAGTAGAACGAGCTGTGATAGGTCACGGAGCCGACGTGGCGCACGGGCCCCCGGGGATCAGTCAATCAGATCCTGGATTTGGTGTGTGCTCGGCGGGGGGACAGCCAGGAGAAGGTTAACACTTTCAGAACCTCAGTGTGAGAGTGTTTATCACAGTCGTAATCATCCCCGCGGCACAATGTCATACGGAGCACAAACGCCATGTGTCAGGGAACGTTACGTCACACTGGCCATCAAACCGCATGTCTGCTTAAATTCACCAAACTCCTGCGGCTTATTTACAAATGCTAATTTTCCGGATTAAATCTGCCTCTATTTTAAGTTTCAAAATGATTTCAAATGTAATAGATAATCAAATATATTTATGAAATTATGAAACTGAATTTTCAAAATGATAAAATATCAAATAAATGATAGAATCTATAATATATAACATATATTTAAAAAAACAACAATAATTGTGTATTGTTTTGATTGGTTTATTTTTAATTATATTTGATAATTTCTTATACTTCTATTTAAATAAAAATATAAAAAAGTAAAAATAGATTTTATATATAGTTTTATTTAAATATATTCAGTGTGTATGTATATATTATATATATGTGTGTGTGTGTGTATGTGTATATATATATATATTCAATTGTATTAATATTTTTTTATGTTAGAGTAATCAAATTACAATGATTTGTTAACATCTGTTAAATGGCAAATGACTATCTAATTAAGATAAATATTTGTTTTATATTTAAATATTTATAATAAATGTATAAATATAATTTCTTTTACTTCTATTTAAAGGGGTCATATGATGCTTTTTTAAAGATAATTATTTGGTGTATTTGGTGTAACAGAATATATATATATATATACACACACACACACATTCTTTTAAATATTTTAAATGTATTTAATAAATATATTAGTATGTAATAAATATTTTAGTAAGTGAATGATTATGTTATGTCTTCTGGTTTTAGTCAATTTGGTAATTTTGTAAGTTTTAGTTATTGGTGAGTGATGATTTGTTGGAAGTACTTTTCTTATTATTATCTATGTTGAAAATAGTTTTTGCTGCTTAATATTTTTGTGGAAACTGATGTATTTTTTTCCCAGGATTCTTTGATGAATATAAAGTTCAAAAGAACGGCATTTATTTGAAATGGAAATCTTTGGTAAGATTATAAATGTCTTTACTATCACTTTTGATCAATTTAATCCATCCTCACTAAATAAAAGTATTAATTTCTTTAAATAAAAAAAATAAAAAATTCTGACACCAAACTTCTGGTACTGGTACTGTATATAATTTTGGAGATTTGTTTAGTAGTAGTAGAAGTAATAGCATTTCTGTCAATAATTAGTTTTTGCTCTAGTATACAAACACAGTGTCAGTTTTAACACCTTTTTTGTTTTGTTTTATGAAACTCGATTTGGCTCTGGTTTGCTGGCGTAACAGAAAGCAGCAAAGTTGGCGAGCTTTGTTTGTGTTTGGACTGTCTACCTGAATATAGACACCAGAGCAGAGGAGACTCAGATAGAGTGACAGGATCCGTGTGTCGTGCAATCCGAGCGCCGCAGATCCGGTTACCTTTTTCTGAAAATGAGAGGAAAGGTTGACTCTCCATTGGGATGGAAAATGGGGCAAATATGACGCCTGAGACATTGGAAAATGTATGTGTTTGCTCGAATGTGGTGTGACACACGACTGGTTTCAAACTACTAAAAGTACTGACCTCACACTCCTTGTGGGAGTTTCGGTTGGGTTTTGTGTCATTCGTCTTTAATTATGGAGACGCAACAGGTTGTTCTTCAAGGAAACCGGTTAAGATTTCAAAATAAGATGCATTTGACTTAAATGTTTTGTTTTTAAAGTGTTTTTAAAAATGCTGTTCAATTATTTAAGAACAAACCATTGGGGGTTCTTGAGGGCTTTCAGTATCTTGAAGGAAAACACGCAAAAGCTACAAAGGTTTTATTGCCAATGTATTTATTTGATTACATTTTGATTTGATTGGGAGGCAGTTCTCATTTATGTGGTTGTCTTTATTATTGTCTCCAATTTATTCTTCAAATATATACAGCAAAATGTCCTGCACAATTGACTTTTCTAACTAATGAAACTAATTAACTCACACCTGTCTTTCAGGGTCGGGTGGAAGTTGAGGCTGGAAATGAGAATATGATGTTTGAGACGGGTCCTTTCTCTTATTATGGAGTCATGGCACTGACTACATGCCTGGGTGAGTATTTTACCTTGCTATTTTATCTCTAATTTTCTCTACTCAAAAAGTGTGAAACATCCCCACCTAAAGAAATTGTTCATTTAAAGGGACAGTCCACCCAAAAAAAAAACAAATTCTGTCATCATTTATTCACCCATGTGTCGTTCAAAAACTGTTATCATCTTTTTATGGAGGCTTGAAAGCTTCTCAGGCATTGTAACTGCATGGAAAAGAGCAACCAGCACAGTTTCAGATGAGTAAATGCTGACAGAATTTAGAAATATGATTTATGAATGCATTTTTGAGTTTTCTGAATAAGGCTGATTTATGGTAACAATGATGTGTCTGTTGATATGTTTGCTGCCCAGCGTTAGTTTAAGTAATGGATCTTGTCAGCGCCTCTCAGTGCGCTTTGTCATGATCTGTCATTGTAAGTTTAGTCTTTTGTATTACATAATAACAGCGGCAGTAGGGGACTAAACAGGACACATTTGGCTGCAGGGACATCTGCTGGCCGAGTGTCACTAATAATGCAGTCTGATTCTGTTCTTCACCTCCAGCTGTGCCGCAGTCCATTCATGTGCCAAACATCACATTTATGTGCTTAGCATGTGTCTAAATGTGTGGCTGCGTGTGCTTTGAGAAACACTGCATAAGAGAAACCTTGAAACCCAAAAGGAGATGTTTAGCAGAATGTCCAAGCTGCTTTTTTCCACACATTGCTAATGGATGGGGATTCATTTACACTTTCCAAATATATATGTATATATGTGTGTGTGTGTATTTTATTTTATTTTTTGCAATGTACATATTTAAAGATTAGCTTCCAAATCAAATTTATGCTTGCAAACACGAACCAACAAAATTTTACGTTTTGACAAAAAACTTGGTACATCTTGTCTTGAGGCGACAAGTTTGAATGTTTGCACGTGTCAATGAGATTTGAAAGCTATGACAGAGAATCTTCCTTTGAATAATTGAATATTATTCCATTAAATAATATTGATTGATTGATTTAATTAGCCATGTATAAACCAACAATATTTGACGTTTTTGACTTGAAACTTGGAACAACTGGTCTCGAGGCAGCAGGTTTGAATGTGGGAAAGTGTGAGATTCGAGAGCTACGACAGAGAATTTTTCATTGAATAATGTTTTTTTTTTTTTGTATTTGCATCCAGAAAAGCTGAAATATTGCATATGGACCACTTTTATGATACTTTATGGTGCTTTTAAGTGCTTTCAAATTACAAAAAGGATGTAAATATCACTTTAAAAGTGTGAGCAACCGGCTAAAATATTCGCCGTTATTCACTGAAAATATTGACATGCTTTCCTTGGAAGAGACGTAGCGATATCTAATACCAGATTTAAAAAAAAAAAATTTTTAAGATCTTTTCGATTAATCATTTAAATTGGTTTTCGAATCAGACTGAACCGATTCAGCCCACTGTAGGTCTGAATTCTTCATTGATAATGACTTAATTTTTGGTCTTTAACTCAAAAGTATGGTTTGGATTCAAAAGAGTTGAAACACAGTATATAGACCACTTTTATGGTGATTTTGATTTATTGTTGAAGCCTGTTGGCAATGTGAAGTCCATTTTCCTTGTATGGAAAAGAGCAGCTTAGACATTCTGCAAAATATCTACATTTGGGTTCCACTGAAGGAGGAAAGTCATACAGGTTTGGAGCGATAACGCCAAGTTTTGGGTGAAAAATAGCCTACCTTTAACATCACCAGAATATGTTGTACTTTCAAAGGCAAGGTTAGTAGCAAAGCATTACCCCTTCAAAGAAAATATTATGTTCCCGTAGTGTTTTATAATGAGGGATTTGTACCTTCAGCGGCTGCTGATGCTGGAGCAGCTCTCGGCAGGATCTTGATGCGTGGCATGTTTAAAGAGCTTCTCTGTCTCTCCTCTGCTCTGCCTCTCCCCCCTCCTTCTCAGCTGTCACCCCCCCTCTCTCTCCTTCCGTGGTGTCGCCTCATCCGCGCCGCCTTTCGCTTAAGAGGTTTTCTCTGTTCTCGCGTTTCCCAGGTAAATGCCCTGCATGCTGGGTGCTAACTCAGGGATGTAGGGGTAGCTAACAGGGGGACAGTGTGGGACAGGAGCTAGTTTCAAATGCAAAAAAATAACCTTTATCATGCTATGACCTGTTGTCCAGCAAGTTCACATTTTATTGATTTATTTATGTATTTATTTACAGTGATTTAAAAGCTGTTCTAAAGCCTAGACAGCAATTTTAGGCATTGTATTAAATGTAATAAAAATACATTTAAGTTCTGCATAGAATATCAATAGAAAATATTTCCAGCTGATTAAAAATGCACATGCAAAATTAATTTTTAGGAAATATTCAGTATTTTCCAATTACAAATTGAATTCAAAACATTCAAACTTGACACAAATTAGCTACAAGAATTGCAAAAACTAAAAATTTGACATCATTGATATCAAACTTATCACAACTAGTCTTGAGATGGCAGGTTTAAATGTGTGCGAGCAGAAGATTCGAGCGCTACAGCAGACAATTTTCAGTAAATAATGCCATTTATTTTATTTTCCACCCCTCACACAGAATTATTGTTTGCGTTCAGAAGAGCTGAAATATAGCATATGGCTATAGCATATAACTTTTATGGTTCTTTTAGTCCTTTCAAGTTACAAAAATAATACAATAATAATGGCTGAAATGTGATTTTATTATATTTTATTTTATTTTGTGACTTACAAAACCTAGACACAATTTTAGGCATTGTCTTGTATTGTAATAAAAATAAAATATTACTGTATAAAATATTGATAGAAAATAGTTCCATCTAAATAAAAAATGCACATGCAAAATGTATTTTTCTCTGTTTATTAGGAAATACTGAAAAGTAGAATATAGTTCTTAATTTAAAAAAGTTAACTTTCATCCAGTATTTGTGTGCATAAAGTATTTATTTGTTTTAGTTTTGAGTTGTTAGCTTTGCAACATAATTATTGAAATCAACTGTGAGTGTTGGCTTATATGCATGATGTGGCATGTGACATATATACACCGTTTTTAATGACAGTGTTATTAAAATGGAAGCTTGCTGGACTGGTTGACTCTGACATTGACCTCTTGAACTCAGTCTTTGAAGAGCTCTTCTACTCTAACCACTAACACACTCACCCTGCTGCCTGTCCATCACACCTGACCTCCTGCACCTGAACACAACATTCACACCAACCTGAAGATTCAGTCCTGCTCCATTCTGAGTTGCCTTAGTATCAGAATATACTAGAAAATGTGCCATGAGCGTTGTGAGGCTGAATGAAGACCTGTTTGTGACGTCAAGATGAAACGGGAGCGTCGTTGTTTGAATGAAAAAATGCATTATAAATTATATTACTATGATTATATATTATCAATGTCAAATACTTGTAGTGCAGTGTTATCAACTAAACCTAAACCAATAGCATGTTAACAGAGTGGGGGGGAATATATATATATATAATTTAATATATATAAAATAAAGCAGAAAATATAATACAATTTCTAATTTTGTCTAATTCAATTTATAGTAGTAAAATTACTAAAACTGAAATAATTAATAAAAAGTAAATAGACATTTTAAAAATGAAAACGACTAAAACACTTAACAAAATTACTAAGACAAATGTTTCAGAAATGTCACTATAGCATTTTTTAGTTTCATATCTAGGGCTAAAACATTTACAAACAAATATTTAAAAAAGCCTTGTGCCAGGCGTGGTTTACATCATGAACATTAATTATGTAAAGTAACGTGTTATCCAATTTGCTATCATTTTAATTCACATTTTGTAAGATATTTTCACCAACCTGTCCATTTTTTTTGACAGAAGTGCAATGTAGTATAGTCAAATACTAAGGCAATTTTCCGATATCATCGAAATTCTATGATATCGCTATGATGATTGGTTTCGTCAGCAACTCGTAATGAATTTTAATCATGTTCACTTTGGTTACCGTTACAGTCAAAACTACTCGGAGCGAGCGATGCGATAATACTTGATCGCTTCCGTTATCAATGAACTTTGCATGTTTTGCGGTGTAAATGACTTCATTGATTATAACCGGAGAGTTCTAGTTTATCACATTGCGTCGCTCGCAGTGTAATCAAATGGCATTTCAACAGAGAAAAATCCCCCATGCTTGTATCAGTAACCAGAGCTGGGTAGATTACTTACAAATTGTAATCCGTTACTGATTCCAAATCACATGACAAAAATTGTAGTTTGTATTGTAAACATTACACATTTTAGGTAATATAATCAGATTATTTTTTTGATTACTTTTAGATTACTTTTGACCTAACTCGTTTATCACATTGATTTAAATAGGATAATCTTGTACCAAATTGGGGTTCGTAAAGGAACTGCAGGGGGTTTGTGAGTTCAATGAAAAACTAGTAATTCATTAAATCATAAAAATGTAAAAAATAAATAAATCATTTTAAAATGGCATCAATCAAAACATGAAATATTTTATTTGTTTACCTGCATGTCAGGTGTCCATTAACTAACCTCAGAGAACCGTGAGCATTCAAATGTGATTTAATTATTAAAATATTTGTTTTAAAATCTCAAGAAAATATTAGGTGAAAGAGGTTCAGATGACAAAAAAAGCTTGGGAATGCATTACATGTAATAGTGTGAATTTGTGCATTTTAATGTGTTTGAAAGACAAAAGCCTTCCAAAGACATAGTAGCACATGGTTAAATAACCCACTGAGCGATAATTCAAATTAAAATGTATGTGTTCATCAGTAGTTGATCCAGTGTTGAAACACTTTTTAAACCTGAAATGATTTTTGTAAATCCAGTGGTCAAATGCTGTGTAGCCACCTGACTAATGGCTGGTCTTTGTGTGATAATCCACAAAACTGTAAGACTTTCTGAGTGTATATAAGCGGTAGGCTATTTTAGAAAGGAGCATTTAAAAGGTGAAGAGGAGATTTAATAAATTATGAATAATTCGTTGCTATTGTGTGAATAATATGTAATCAATAAAAAAGTAACCGGTCTGATTACAAGTATTTAAAACTTTAATTTAATCTAATTACAAGTACTTAATTTTTGGAATCTGATTAGGTAATCCAGATTACATGTAATCAGTTACTACCCAGCTCTGCCAGTAACCATGTGCTTCTGAGTCAGTTGTGCGTTTTTGTCCGCATCTGTCAGCATTCATTTATTTATTGTCTGTTATTGTCGCAGTAAAACCTGTCAAATCCCAAGCACAATTGCTGCAGTGACTGTTGCAGGTAGTTCATAAAAGCACCTGTAGAGGACGCTAGTGTATTAACATTACAGCGCCGATCCCACGTGGTTTTAGGTAATCGAGGGTTTTATGTACATCCTCTGTTCTTTATAGTCACATACTGATATTATAGTATTGAATAGTACACTATAATCTATGCTTCTCCAGTGTAACCAAATTAATGCTGCTCATGCACGTCTGAAATGACCATCCAATCATTTGCAATAATCTTTCCATTCATTTCAAATGTGATACGTGTTGTTTGTGGCTCCTTGTTTATTGTTGTTCTGTCCCTCTCATCAGTGTTTTTTTTTTCTTCTTCATTTTATGTTTTAAGATTTGCCACATTTGTGTTCTTCTCGACTCTGTTTCATCTGTGTGAGTGTTTGTCAGCAGGTGTGCCGTGACATGAAGTGACGGTTTTCCTGTGCGTTCCAGAGTTTCGCTCCCCGTCTCACGTGAGTGGTCTGAACCGCTCGGCGTCTCTGAGCTGCACGGAGAGAGTCGACTCGGTGTCCATCATCGGCAGTAACAGTCAGCTCAATAACAGCCCCGTGGCACAGTACGTCCCTGATTTTAACGTGCGGGCCCTCACTGACCTGCAGTATGTGAAGGTATGTTATGTCCATAAACAGCCGATAACAACAAAGTTACGGTCTGGTCTTCACATAAATGTGTGTATGACTTCAGAAAACTTGGAATATAGCACATGAGTTGTATTGGACTATTTTTATACTTCACTTTACTTCACTTTAATTTCAGCTGTTTTGTAGATCTAAAGCAATTGTATTATATATGTCTATCTGCATTTTATCAGGTCAACCTGTTCTCTATTGGTAGTAAAAATAAACACATTTGCTTGACAATGGATAATTATTTTATTTATGCTTATAGTTTTCAAAATTAGAACAATCTAAGTTATGTCTGAACAGTGAGTGTCTAGATTAGACCGTTTAAAAGTTTGGAAGTCTCTTATGCTCACAAAGGCAACAATTATTTAATTGAAAAAACTATTTGAATACATTTTAAAAAGTAATTTATTTCTGTGATGGAATGCTGAATTTTCAGTATCATTAAATTATTATTATTGCTGTTGTTTTAATATTTAATTGAAATGTAAATATTTTAAGTTAAGTCAGTCAAGACCAACCTGTACATGCGTGTTTATGTGTGTATGTGTGTGTATATATATATATATATACACTGAACAAAATTATAAACGCAACACTTTTGTTTTTGCCCCCATTTTTCATGAGCTGAACTCAAAGATCTAAGACTTTTTCTATGTACACAAAAGGCCTATTTCTCTCAAATATTGTTCACAAATCTGTCTAAATCTGTGTTAGTGAGCACTTCTCCTTTGCCAAGATAATCCATCCACCTCACAGGTGAGGCATATCAAGATGCTGATTAGACAACATGATTATTGCACAGGTGTGCCTTAGGCTAGCCACAATAAAAGGCCACTCTAAAATGTGCAGTTTTACTGTATTGGGGGGGTCCGAAAACCAGTCAGTATCTGATGTGACCACCATTTGCCTCACGCAGTGCAACACATCTCCTTCGCATAGAGTTGATCAGGTTGTTGATTGTGGCCTGTGGAATGTTGGTCCACTCCTCTTCAATGGCTGTGCGAAGTTGCTGGATATTGGCAGGAACTGGAACACGCTGTCGTATACGCCGATCCAGAGCATCCCAAACATGCTCAATGGGTGACATGTCCGGTGAGTATGCTGGCCATGCAAGAACTGGGATGTTTTCAGCTTCCAGGAATTGTGTACAGATCCTTGCAACATGGGGCCGTGCATTATCAGGCTGCAACATGAGCTGATGGTCGTGGATGAATGGCACAACAATGGGCCTCAGGCTTTTTCCCATATGCGTCTTAAGCAAGACGCAGTACGAGTGAAGTATCGAAAGGGAACTGCACATTTTAGAGTGGCCTTTTCTTGTGGCCAGCCTAAGGCACACCTGTGTAATAATCATGCTGTCTAATCAGCATCTTGATATGCCACACCTGTGAGGTGGATGGATTATCTCGGCAAAGGAGAAGTGCTCACTAACACAGATTTAGACAGATTTGTGAACAATATTTGAGAGAAATAGGCCTTTTGTGTACATAGAAAAAGTCTTAGATCTTTGAGTTCAGCTCATGAATAATTGGGGCAAAAACAAATATTTTGATTAATTTTGTTAATATTGTTTTAATATTTAAATGATATTATATTCATATTTAATTTAAATTCAAATATTTAAATATAGAGTGGAATTTAGCATTATCAAATACTAAGGACGGTGTGCTGAGTTACTGGGATCAAAATATTTGTGCATTTTGAATTATTAATAATGTTGAAAACAGTTGTGCTGCTTAATATTTTTGTGGAAACTGATACTTTTTTTGATGAATAGAAAGTTCAAACGACAGCATTTATGATTTTTGAATCTTTTGTAACATAAAAATATTTACTCTCACGTTTGATCAATTTAATGGAATCGAGTCTGTACTGAGAAAAAGTATTATTTCTTTCCAAAAATAAAAAATTGAGCAGTAGTGTAAGTAAGTTTTGATTTACTACCTTTTTTCTTTTTCAGGTCACTCGTTCGCAGTACCAAACCGGCCTCCTGGCTTCAAAACTGGACAGCATGCCCCAGTCCCCTGAGAGCAGCCATATCCGTCTGGATCCCGGCCCTCTTCCACCTCTGACCCCTCCCATGTCCTCCACCGCGAACCACACCACAGCGCCGCCGGCACCCAGAGAGAACGGGCCGGATGAGACAACCACGCTGCTCAACGACAAGAACAGCCTGTCCAAACGCCGTCCGAGCCACATCCACCCTCAGAACCAGCCGCACCTGAACACCAACTCCAACTCCAGCCCCGCCCCCCATCCCCACGGCAACAGCAGCCCGACGCCCCTCCCCAACCCTCACGCGCATCACATGCACACGTTCACGCACGCGCACACCGAGAGCACCATTTGACGACACTAATCTGGGGCTCAGAGAGCTCCAGAGCTGACCGAAGGCGATCGCACAAGCACAAATACACTCTTTCTCTCGATTCGAGAGGACAAAGGCGTGTTAAAAAACTCCAAAAAGGTGCGTCGTCTTCAACATTGAACGTGATCTCACTGTGATTTTAGGGGCTGCGGGTTCAGCCCGACATTGAGGTGTTTAGCTATGCAGACTGTTATGCCTGCTATTGCATGCTTATCATGTAGACACTCTCTCAAAGCTTTCAGCATTGGTATGCAACAAATACCGTTTAAAGGCATTATACAATTTCATCAGTATCTAACAGAATTATTGAACAATATGCACTTTTTATAATGTCTCTGACCCAGCAGCATACATTTGAGTGCTGTAGTTTTCTGAGATTTTGACCATAAGAGCACTTTGAGTCTCATAAGCTATTATTGGACTGAACTATCCTTTTAGCACAAACAAAGACAGTTCTGGTCGAGTTTTCCTGCTGTATAGTACTATATGATTTTGACAGCGTTCTTTCAAAGTCGAACACATCAAGCCAAGGTGTTTTGGTAATTGTGGTTATGTGATGTAGCTGTATGTGGCGCAATCATAGCTCTACGTGACAAACGTGAAGGGAAACTTTGTAAATATAGTTTGAAGACGTGAAATTTGCAGACGCAGATATGGTTTGGAAAACCCGACGTGGTCAGTTAGTTAGTGCTCAAAACAAACATTTGTAACAAAAAAACAAAATGAGCATTGACCACTGCATATTCAGATCTGTGATAAATGATTCAAAACATGATATAATAATTTATTTAAATATTAATATATTAATTTTTTTGTCTAAATTAGTATGTATATTTGATTAAAAAAAAACAAATCTTTTTGACACAATTATAATTCATCCCCCGGGATGAATCTCACAAAAATATGAGTTGTATTTCACAACAAAATATTTTATTTGACTAAATAAAGCCCGTTTACACCATTAAGATTTTTTGCATTATATTATGCATTATTTTCATGAGAATATTTTCTTCTCAAATTCTCATTTATAAGTCTTATTATTCTGAATGATTCTCAGTAGACTTATATTACTGTAATACAATTATTTGTTCATTTAAAAAATCCATACAAATGCACCATAATATATAAATGCTTAACAATATACTTTTTTCACTTTATACTAATGAAAATGATAAATAATACCACAATGCAAAAAGTCTTAATGGTCCTAATTATATATTAATTTTCATTTTGATTTTGGGCTGAAATATGACCTTAGATTTTGTAAGATTTACCCAGTTCTTGATCTCAAAGGTTACGACTGTCCATCAAACAACACAAATGCTGTTTTCCACCGACATTCCCATCCTCAGAAACAAGACGATACAGATGCTTGAACAGAATTCACTGTGACCTGGAGTGAAACTGTACATTCGTGTTGATTCTCAAGCATTTTTGTATGCTACGGAATCTTCAGTATCTCTTCCTGAAGTGTGAAGTCACTAGTGCTGTTTGGTTTGTTATGCGCCTCTAGATCATAGGTTAGTTAAAGGAATAGTACTAGTTCACCCAAAAACATAACATTTTTCTAATCCTCAAGATGTTGATTAGTTTGTTTATCAGAACCGATTTGGAGAAATGTAGCATTGCATCTCTTGCTCACCAATGGATCCTCTGCAGTGAATGACGTTTTCACTGGAGGAAACATTATTATGGATTATGAACTTGTATTTTGATGTTTTAAAGTTAAAGTACCTTAGTTAAAACTCCTTGATGAATTTGTTTCTTACAAACAGCTTTTCACTTCCCAAGATGTTAACTGATGAGTAGTGTGGATTATTGTGATGTTTTTATCAGCTGTTTGGACTCTCATTCTGACGGCACCCATTCACTGCAGAGGATCCACTGGTGAGCAAGTGATGGAATGCTACATTTCTCAATTTATTTTCCAATGAAGAAACTTTCAGCTAATATTTAGTGAACTATTCCAAACTAAAGCCTCTTTGCTTGCACTAGTATTAAGAGTTTCTACATCTTCTTGCAGTGACCATAAAGCGGTTCTGTCCAGAGATCATATTTCGGAGGTCACACAGTGATTTTTCCATTGTGTTCCTCTCATGCCGAGCTGACATTAGAAACCATATTTAAACCTTATTCTGATGTATTCATACTGTAACTATGCTATGCAGTGCATGCATAAAGCTTCCAGTGTTAAACTGTTCTTTTCTTTTATTTCATAAATTAAAAAAAAAAAAAAAATCACAGTGAGAGTTATAGAGTATTATAAATAATTACTGAGAAGAATAGCACTGGATTGATTGTTTTCTCATTGAACAGTATAAAACTGACTTTGTCCAACTAGTGTATGATGATTTCTAAGTTATTTATAAATGTTTTGTTGCCTTCACGAGAGATCTGAAGCAATAAATAGGTATGTTTCTTTTTAAGATGTTTAATGTACAATTGCACAGTGAGAGAAATAAGTTTGCATTTGACCTCAACTGATATTTCTTTTGTGTGAAATTTGAGAAGTATTTAATCCAACTTAAACCAAAACGTGGGCATTGCGCTCAAACTCTGTACTGAGGCATAACATGTTATATCATGACCAACGTTGCAACACTACATGGAATTAAATTTGTAAATGAACACATCAGCCAAAGCCTTTTGCACTTTGATTTGTCCATATAATGCCCATGTTTCTCTCTTATTGCACAGTGACTCTGCTTGTGGGAAACTAATGAAATTCTTTTAAGTGTAATGCTGGGATTTCGATCCAGCTCTGTAATCTGATTTTAATGTTCATGGTAGTTTCTCCTGAGGAACTCAACGGGATAGATGTTGTGCATGTTCCCCTGTTTGATCATTAGACCACAGTTAAAGATTCTAAAAGTGTGTTTTCAGGAAGCGTCTGCATTTTCCACTCTGCATTTATTTACTTTTCAGGGTCATGACCTATATTGACCTTTCAAACTGTCCAGGTTATTGTATTGCATACTAAGCACACTTTGTTTTGGGTTCACTATAGGTCTTCCATTAAAAAGCCATGGGAACTACAGAAAAATAATTCCATCATTTGTTTTGTGAGTGGGGTTAGTTTATTTTTGTCTTATTTACTTTTTAAAGCATCACAACAAACTGTAATTATGATGGTTTTCGTTTTTTTTTTAAGTTGCTGTCTTTAAAGGGAAATGCAAAATGCAGATGTAATGAACTTCCCATGAACACGATCGTATTTAAAGCACTCTGTATATAATATTTTGTATTTCTGTTGAGTTCTGATGATGTAAATGCTAAATCTAAATAATTCTATATTAAAACACCTCTTTTGCTCAGTCTGTGTAAAATAATTCCATCATTTGTTTTGTGAGTGGGGTTAGTTTATTTTTTGTCTTATTTACTTTTTAAAGCATCACAACAAACTGTAATTATGATGGTTTTCGTTTTTTTTTTAAGTTGCTGTCTTTAAAGGGAAATGCAAAATGCAGATGTAATGAACTTCCCATGAACACGATCGTATTTAAAGCACTCTGTATATAATATTTTGTATTTCTGTTGAGTTCTGATGATGTAAATGCTAAATCTAAATAATTCTATATTAAAACACCTCTTTTGCTCAGTCTGTGTAGTAGTGATGTTGCTTTTATTCCAATGGCAAACTGTAGGTAAAACTTTTGCGAGGTGTAAAACATTACGGTCAGTTTTTAACTCACAAACTCACGCAGTCTGTGTAGTAGTGATGTTGCTTTTATTCCAATGGCAAACTGTAGGTAAAACATTACGGTCAGTTTTTAACTCACAAACTCACTCTTTATCAATCTAACCGCTAGATACGAAAAAAACCTGTGAATATTTAAAACAAACTGTTTTAAACAAAAACAGTTTGTTTTCAAAATAGCCTTGAGAAGATGCCGCGCTCATCTCACACGCTGAAGTTCTTCAGTGCCGTTGTGGGCGTGGTTTACCAAATCGTTCTCCGATTGGTCAAGCGAGCACTTGCTCTTCTGTCATTGGTCCATTGTGGACACGACGTAGCGGCAGTGCAAAAAAAAAAAGAAACTGCGTTCATTGTGGCTCCAGAGTTTGGGGGCAAGTCCGTGCCTGTTTCTCAAGAATCACGGAGCCAACATGGCGGCCGGACCGAGCCAGTTTCCCACATCGTTTTATATGAAAACAACTGAAAAAGTAGGAGGGTAGCGTAGCGGCAACAACATCACCGTCACATGATTCATAAAGCCAGGCTGCCCTGTTCCAATATGGTGGTCAGCTTGGCGGAGCTGCGTCTCCCGTTGATCATATCGTTCCTGTGCGGGTTCGGAACCTGCAGCCTTCAAGAAACGCATCTTTACGGACTGCGCCTGGAGGACTTAAACCAACGGGTGTACATGCGCGAACGGGTCCTCGTAGCTCCGCACGGGACCACCTTCAAGCTCAGATTGTTTGGGTCCTACCTGTCCAATGAGACCTGGCCGTGGGTCGCGTTCGCCGCGGTTGGAGGCGGTTCGGGTGACCCGTGCGCACTGGAGGAACGCCGCAATTCCTCTGCGTTCCGGGTGCGCGGAGCGTTCGCGTCGGATGACGAGAACAGCGGGATTATAGAAGTCCAGACCGAAGCTGCAGCATCCGAACCGGAGGATAAAGATGCAGAGCCTGTGCTCCATCATTTTTGCGTCTTAAAGGGCCAGACATGGGGGTCTTTCGGGTCGGACAAGTTGATTATTAAGAACCCGGCTGTGCCATCAGATTACATTCCATTATGGGGTCTGATTTTGGTGGTCGTGGTTCTGGGTTTGATTTGCAGTGTGGTCAGATGCGTGAATCTGAGTTTGCTGTGGCTGGACCCACTGGAGCTGTATGTTCTGCACAGCTGCGGTTCAGAGGATGAAAAGCGGGTGGCCAAGCGCCTCAAGCCCATCCGGAGGAGAGGAAATGTTCTGGTTTGTTCGCTCTTGTTCATTTGTGCTTTGGGTCACTCGGTGCTCGGCGTCCTGTTGTACCGCCTCTATGGGTCCATCCTGCCCGCTGTGTTCACTAGTGGCTTCCTCATATTCCTTCTGGCTGAGTTGGTTCCTCATATTGTATGTTCGGGTTATGGGTTCCAGATGGCACCGGGTTTGATATGGCTGGCCCAGATCTGTCTCATCCTGACGTGTCCACTTTCTTGTCCTCTCGGCCTCCTGCTGGACTTGATCCTGCACCGGGACGTGAGCACCGTGGGCATCCGTGAGAAAACCATGGAAATGATTCGGACTAGTGTGAACGAGCCGTATAATGAGTTCGTCAAGGTGGAGTTCAGTAAAGGCACTCTCAGGACCAAAACCGTGGAGGACATCCTGACCCCCCTGAAAGACTGCTTCATGCTGCCTTCCACGGCCGTGCTGGACTTCAACACCATGTCCGAGATCATGCAGAGCGGCTACACTCGCGTCCCGGTGTACGAAGAGGAGAGGTCCAATATCATCGAAATCCTGTACGTCAAAGACCTGGCGCTGGTTGATCCGGAGGACCGCACTCCCATGACCACCATCACCAAGTTCTACAACCATCCTCTGCATTTTGTTTTTAATGACACCAAGCTGGATGCAATGCTGGAAGAATTCAAAAAAGGCATGTCAAATCCTAAGCAGATGCCTTCAAACTATGAGTATCGGTGTTCGACCGATATTTTACCAATTATCTGCAGTTATTTGCTATTGACCTGACAAGGCCAATATTGAATGCCTATAATATTTGGGCTATATTATTATTATTATTAATCTGTGTTTGAAGTGTTTTCATAACTTGATAATCCTAAGAAGATGCC